AGTAGTTAGGTCTAAGGGAGGGATCCCAGTCATATGTAGCATCTTGCCTAGAAAGGGAGTGGGCAATGAATGGATGTCTAGGGCAATTGGTATAAATTGCTGGCTAGACAGGTACTGCAAGGAACTTGCAATCCCATTCATTGATAACTGGGACCTATTCTTTGGCAAACATGATATGTATGCAAGGGATGGGGTTCATCTCTCTGGGGATGGAGTGGTTGCATTAGCCAATTCGATTGAGAGAGTAATTGATGACTTGTCTAGGAATTTAAACTGATGGATTATAGAGGTATGGGTGTTTGTGGGAAACAATCAGGCTGCAGCATTAGGGTTAAACACAGTAGTTATTACCGGGATACCTCAGGGATATGTTTAAAAGACAATATTCAAAATAAAGTTGCTAGTAATGGCAAATCAATTGATCAACAAAGAGAGATAGTAGAGGGCAACGAGTGACTAGCTCCCATAAGGTTTTCTATACAAATAGTAGGAGTCTAAGAAATAAGATAGATGAGCTAAGATTACTTGCAAGTGTAGGTAATATAGATATTATTGGTATAACAGAGACCTGGTTCAACTTGAAAGATAGAGAAATGCATTTTGAATGCAACATACAGGGTTATAAAATATTCCACACTGATAGGGTCAACAGGAAGGGTGGTGGAATGGCGATGTATGTCAGAGAAAATTTAAATTGTTGCCTTAGACATGGTATAAGATTAGAAACATCGAACACAGAATCTGTTTGGCTACAGTTTCTCGAGGGTCGTGACAAATTAATTTTGGGTGTGATTTATAGGCCCCCAAACCTTGATAGGGAGTGCAGTAAGCTGTTATGGGACGAAATTCATAAGGCATCTAGATATGAAGATGTTATGATAACGGGAGATTTTAACTTTAGACAAATTGATTGGAACAATATGACAGGAAATCTTGAGTCTAGTGACTTGATACGGTTCAGGATTGCTTTTTAGAACAGGTTGTGATGGAACCAACTAGAGGAAACAATCTGGTTGACTTGGTTCTTGCCAACAATGAGTCACTAATGATGAGCTTGGGGAAAGTGATCACAAATCACTTAGTTTCAATATATCATGGAATTACCAAGATAACTACAATCAAATCTATGTCCCAGATTTCCGCTTGGCCGACTTCATGGGACTGAAAAATTACCTGGGTGGGCTAAATTGGGATGTCCTGACTATGGGTCAGGTAGGTGATCTTGGTTGTCAATATGACGTTTTTCAGAGCATAGTTCTAGCTGCCCAGACAACTTTTGTTCTGAGTAGGGAAATTAGATCTAACAAAAATTATCCCAAATGGATGAACAATAGATTAAAACATCTCATTGGTCAAAAGAGAGGCATATATAGGCGTATCAAAAGAGGGGATGGGGGAGTTAAGAAATCCATATATTCAATTAAAGAGAGAAATAAAGAAAGGAATAAGAAAATCAAAAAGGGATTGTGAGGCTAAGGTCGCAAGGGATTCAAATATTAACCCAAAAGGGTTCTTTCAGGTATACATGGCCGGGCTTGTCTGGTTTTCCCAGACAGGAGTCAATTTTCGATAGCTGTTCGTTGAGCTGTTGGGAAGTTGCATCTGGTGGCTTATATACAAGCACAATGAACAAGTTTTGGTTCTCGATTTTTATTGTTAGAACTTCAGCTACATCCTTTGTGGTGTTTAGTATCTCTGTGCGAATGTTGTTTCTGTCGCATCTGAAAAGATTGTACCCAGGTATCCTTATTTCACTCTAAAAGCAATCTTTTGCGTGGGTCTCTGAAGGCTGCATTTGCCTTCTCTGGAACTCCAATGATGAAAGGTATTTTGTCGTTTGTGGATGGCTTAAAACCCTGTATATTAGCAAATATAAATGAGGTTGTGTTGCATGTTCGTTGGAGGGATTTCGTTGTTGGCATCAGTAGCTGTGAGTCCGGAGGCGCCACTGGCTGTGCCTCCAGCCCAACAAGGCTCCGAGGTGGTGGACTATTCTGGTTATTTCTTCGTTTCCTACCACTAAAAAATCACTTGGAATGGAGTTGTCGTAGCTACCGTAACTACTATGATTTGTTTTATGGAGTGTGTACCTCCTGGTTCCTTTTAAGTGGTATGTGGGGCAGGTGGTGATGTAACATTGTTTTTTTGGGGACTGAAAAGTGACACATCTTAGGGTTAAATTACCCATAAGTTATTATCTAAAGATAATTCTGGACATTTGAATTTGTGTATTGAACTTAAATATTGACTTTGAGGAGGAAACACTTTGAGCCAAACAAAAATTGAGTCTTGGTGAACGAGGTTGTTCAACTGTGTTAACACGATGACGATCATGTCCAGCTGAAGGTGATGAATATTCAAGAAGAAGGTGAACATATGAGGAGATGAATATGTAAGAAACTGAGCGCTTAATAGAGAAAATATTTAATAAGGTGAACATTTTCATAAGTTGTTGAACATTTTAACATTAAATAATGAATGTTATTACTGTGTTAATAAAAGACACTGTATAGAGGAAATCTTTATTAACAGGCGACGTTTTCCTCTAAATTGAGCTTTATTAAGTCAATAAAACTCAATAAAGAGTTTTTTTCAAAGTCAGTGAGGCTATAAATAGAGTTTCTCAAAAATTGACATAGCTCTAAGTCGTGCTTTATCAAAGTCAGTAATATTTTACATAAAGCGAGACGTACCATGTAAACATTGGAGCTTTTTACCATATTAATCGACACGTTTTGCCCTCCAGCAAATTATTATTATTATTATTATTATTATTATTATTATTATTATTATTATTATTATTATTATTATTATTATTATTATTATTATTATTAATCATTAATATTTTCATATCTAAGTAGTTTAAGTCTGTCATCATTAAACGTCGTGTTATTCGCTACTGCCCGCTGCGAGACTTTATTTACGTCTTTCTGTAGTGTTTCCGTGCCTTCTACCAAGGTGATTTTCATGTTTATTTAAGTATCATCCGTGTCATTACGATTTCATGAGTCATGTTGACGGCTTTGAGGGGACTTGAGCTAGAGTTCGTCACGGCCAAGCTAGCGGGAGATTCGTCTATAAAAACTTGCATTTGTGGTCACAATGGTGCCTATGCTAACCTTCCAATAGTGTAGAAATATACCTAGTTGGATGAATCTTACTGTAGCCAGCTGGTCTGGAGCTTTGTGACTCTCTGATCGCGGGTTCTAACCCCACCCGTGGTATGATTTGTGTCAAGTATTTGTAAAGTGTTGTGATGATAAGAAACAGTAGAGGCACCAGGACCGTGCCTTATGGGGTACTGAACTTTTCTTACTAATGCAGGAGTTGGCTGTGCGTACCACTATTGTGTTCTATTGATCGGAAAGTCGTGTACTCGTTTGTCTGCTTCCCCGTTATGACCACTGATTCATATATACTTTACGGAATTTATCTCATTGCTGTTCATCGACAGTGATTGAACCTCCTGTGATTAATGGTCTAATTCTAAAGGTAGTTCTTAATTAGTATTTTGCATGTGGTTTCTTATATGGGATTTTCTTGCAATATGCTGGACTGCTCTTTGTTTCTTTTGTGCTTTGATCTGACTCAAAAACTTAATTTTTTGTTCCAACTGGGTAACCTCCCTGCAAAGATCGTCTTTCCTTCGTTGTCATGTTAACTTTTTAAAGCAGTTCGGTAACTTTTCTTTTCCTTCGTCTGATCATTCTCTTTCTATATTTGATTTACTTTTATGCTTTCTCAGCCGTACATATATTTTATTCAGACCCTGCGTGCTTCTGCATCCAGCTTTTCCAAGCACTAGTGAGGATTAAGACTCTTCAAGACTGTCCCAGGGTACGTCCGATAGTTCCTTATTTTGTCCAGGTCGATTCTCAAATTATTGAAACCAAATTTACTAAACATTAATTCTCGTTTATTATTCCAGGAGTTTTCCAACCCAACATTTATACTGTCTGCACTTCTATCGTGTTGAGATCAGGGTAAATATTTTTTTTTTGTGATCCTTATTTTTCTGATTAGCTCTTCGTTGAGAGTGAAGATCAGATCCAGTGTATTTTCATTTCCAGTAGGTTTTGTAATCTGTTGGTTCAATACAAACTAATCACAAAGCGTCATTAGTTCTCTGGTATGTACCTGTTGATCTGTGGTGTTTACATAAGAACATAAGAAAGGAGGAACACTGCAGCAGGCCTATTGGCTTATACTATGCAGTTCCTCTTCAGACCTAAACCCACTTAACATAAACTGTTACTGGTACAACGCTGTGGTTTATTATCTCATTTTTCATGATATAGAGGTTGAACTCTACGAGGAGGATAATATTTGGTGAGGGATTTTCAAGGCTTTCAAGACTTTTATGTTTATTGGCTGTTTCAGGGGAGACATGATAACGACTTACAAGATACTGCGGGGAATAGACAAGGTGGACAGAGATAGGATGTTCCAGAGAGGGGACACAGGGACAAGGGGTCACAACTGGAAGCTGAAGACTCAGACGAGTCACAGGGACGTTAGGAAGTATTTCTTCAGTCATAGAGTTGTCAGCAAGTGGAATAGCCTAGCAGGTGAAGTAGTGGAGGCAGGAACCATACATAGTTTTAAGAAGAGGTATGACAAAGCTCAGGAAGCAGAGAGAGAGAGGATCCAGTAGCGATCAGTGAAGAGGCGGGGCCAGGAGCTGAGTCTCGACCCCTGCAACCACAATTAGGTGAGTACAATTAGGTGAGTACACACACACACACACACACACACACACACACACACACACACACACACACACACACACACACACACACACACACACACACACACACACACACACACACACACACACACACACACTAACTAACATGCACACACACACACACACCTACACACACACACACACACACACACACACGCACACACACACACACACACACACACACACACACACACACACACACACACACACACACTCACACGCACACACACACACACACACACACACACAAGTGGTTTAGTCCAACATATCCAAGCCACATCATCCCAATCAGCAGACGTTACTCACATTCAGCATGTGTGTTTGATTCATCCATGTATGTTTTTGGTGGGTGTACGTCAACAAATACAACATTTAATGACCTTTGGCGTTTTGACTTAGGGTTACATGAATGGACACGCTTATTGACAACAGGAACTTATCCATCGCCCAAAGCATATGCCTCAATGGTAACATGGAACAATTGCCTTGTGTTATTTGGTGGTTGGACTCATCCTTCTTTGTACCCTCTGCATCAGCAGTGGGTCTTGTTCAGCGAAATGCATGTCTATGATATATCAGGTAATCGATGGACTCAACTGTACTATCCTGGATCACCCCCACCAACAGCTGGTCATTCAGCTTCGGTACATGGCTGTGTTATGGTCGTATTTGGTGGATTGCAAAAACAGGAGGGAACCTCTGCGAGTACAAATGATGTCTTCTGTTTAGACCTTGTGAGACAGTGTTGGTTTAAGCCTGTGGTGTCAGAGCCTATGCCTAAACCAAGGTATGGCCATTCACAGATAAAACTAGATGAGAGACATATTTTAATCCTTGCTGGATGTGGAGGCTCCAACAAACTTTACAATGATATATGGCTGCTAACATTACCTGATAACATTTACAACAGAAGTGAAAAATGGCATTGGGAGCAGATTTATGTAGAAGAGTCTGAATATATGCCCTCACAAATGTGGTATAATCCAGCATGCAAAGTTGGGAATAGTGTTGTGGTTTTGTCAACTTGTGGGACTAATAATGCAACAGCAGGTGGCAATATGTGTCAGCTTTTGGTACCAGGTTCAGTAAGAAGACAGCCAACAAATGTTTGGGTGCCCCCAGTACAGCAGCCAGAAATACGTCCTCATGAACATCATCATCCAGAACGTCATCAGTTGGAACCAAACGTTAATGGCCAGCGAGGGTTTCTTCGACCAGGAATCCATCCAGCAGACCAGGCAGAATCTAGCAGTGATGAAAGTGATGATGTAAACATTCAGGGCACACATAGTGGCCAAGGAGCATCTGGGAGAGGGAGACCAAGACCTTCTATTAGGCCAAATGCATCAAGTGATAGGGAGCGCAGACTTCAGGTATTGTCTAGGATGAAGGAGAGACTAAGGGAACTATCACGGCAACAAGAACATACTAGTACAGCCTTTAATAAGACTACATCATCTCGTAGTACTGTTACACCTCATATGCTGGATATCAGTCAAGTAATTTCACACAAGCAGGCTAGATGGTGGCCTGTTAACCAATCTACTGATCTCCCAACCTGTATTGGGTCTCCTCCTCAACCATCTCTTCTTTACTCCTTAGTTCTTGGCAGAGGACATCAAATCATGTTTGGTGGTATCCCACATGATCCCACTGGAGGACAAAGCCAAGAAACCGTATCAAACACTGTGATATTTGTATCCGCACCTTCCAGTTCATATTTTGCTGCATAATAATTTAAAAGATGTTAAACAGTTTATTATATTTGTAATACTGTATATAGATATTTTACTTTATTTTACAGTATTATAAGAGAACTGCAACATAGTATTGTAAATAGTATATGGCACTAAAAATATTTCATAACTCTTGTATTTCTTGGTAGCAGTTATTTATGTAATTGTTTTTATTTGTATTTGTATAGAAATAAGGTCAAAACTGCAAACAAATGAGCAAAAGTAATACAGTAGCACTGTCTAAAATTATGTGTAGCTGAATATGATGTATCCAGGAAGACTAAAAAGTTACAATACCATGGCTGGAACAGTACACAAATAAGACAGACTTACGAAGGGGAAAGTAATGATGACATTTTGGTCCAACAAGTCATTGTCAATGATTCAAGTCTGACTGAAACATCATCATGACTTTCCCCTCTCCTTAGTCAGGGTTATATGTGTATAGTGTATACAGGAGCTGTATACTAGTCTTACAATTTCTTTTAAAAAAGAATAATTAAAATATATAATTATACTTGTAAGAGTTAGCATTGTAGCACAGTTAAGAGACTGTGCTCCAATGTTTAGACCTATTGGTTGTATCTCCTCCATTTGTCCAATTTTTCTACTACAAAACATAAAGCAAAAGCAAAACTTTCTTTTGTTTCTTGACCTCCTCAGGGGACATACCTAGATGCTGGTGAGGGACTCCATCCAAGAAATTGGATTTATCCTTCCATTCCTTTTATCAACCCTGATTGCCTCCCATTTCCCTAGGAGTTGTGTCCCCTATGGGTTTAGTGCTTACCCTTAAATATAATAATAATCCTTTATTTTTTTTTTTTTGTAAGAAGGGAGCAGTTAGTCTGGGTAGAAGCAAGACAGTTGCACATCACTGGTCTTTGCTACTCCTGTTTTACATGTTTCCACCAACTTAAGACAGGCATTGTTTTACAGTATTTTGTAGGAAGTACAATGTAATGATGGCTGGATATCTTCATAAGTGTTTGGTGTAAGTGAAAATAAGTTTCTTTTATTTCACACTGTAAAAGAAATTTAGTGGGTGGAAGCAGGGTACGTTGCTGCCACTAATAGTAAGCAGCACTGACCCACCTCTGTCCTGCCACACACATGTACTGTGCACGTACACATGCATGTACTCGCTCGCGCGCGCACACACACACACACACATACACACACACACACACACACACACACACACACACACACACACACACACACACACACACACACACACAACACACACACACACACACACACACACACACACACACACACACACACACACACACACACACCACACACACACACACACAACACACACACACACACACACACATACACCTACACACCTACACACACACAACAGGCCTAGTGTCTAATCGACATGTGCCCAGGACAAAATGGTAACTAACTAACACACACACACACACACACACGCACGCACACACACACACACACAGACTGGACACAGTAACAAGGGGACACAGTTGGAAGTTGAAGACGCAGATGAATCACAGGGATGTTAGGAAGTATTTCTTCAGCCACAGAGTAGTCAGTAAGTGGAATAGTTTGGGAAGCAATGTAGTGGAGGCAGGATCCATACATAGCTTTAATCAGAGGTATGATAAAGCTCACGGCTCAGGGAGAGTGACCTAGTAGCGATCAGTGAAGAGGCGGGGCCAGGAGCTCGGACTCGACCCCCGCAACCTCAACTAAGTGAGTACAACTAGGTGAGTACACACACAATGCTAGTCTTGGTATATGTGAACGACATGATGGAAGGGATAGACTCAGAAGTGTCCCTGTTCGCAGATGACGTGAAGTTAATGAGAAGAATTAAATCAGATGCGGACCAGACAGGTCTACAAAGAGACCTGGACAGGCTGGATGTGTGGTCCAGAAACTGGCTTCTAGAATTTAACCCAGCCAAATGCAAAGTCATGAAGATCGGAGGAGAGCAAAGAAGACCGCAGACAGAGTATAGGCTAGGAGGCCAAAGACTTCAAACCTCACTCGAGGAGAAAGATCTAGGAGTGAGTATAATACCGAGAAGCACACATTAAAAAAGATAACTGCTGCAGCATATGGGCGCTTGGCAAACCTGAGAATAGCTTTCCAGTACCTCAGTAAGGAATCGTTCACGACTTTATACACTGTGACGTCGGGCCCCATACTGAAGTACGCGCCCCTTTTTGGAAAAACCCACCCTGGTCAAAACGTAAAGAAATTAGAGAAAGTGCAAAGGTTTTGCAACAAGGCGGGTTCCAGATAAGGAAATGCCTTGAGAAAGGTTAAGTGAAATCGGACTGACTTTCAGCGAAGAGGCGGGGGGGAGTGAGCCTCGACCCCAGAAAACCACAATTAGGGAGTATAATTAGGTAAGTACACACACACACACCACCACACACACCACACACCACACACACACACAAACACTACACACACACACACACACGAGTCAGGTCTCAGGGTCGTACCTTTCCCCACTGGCTGAGACCCGTGACGTAAAAGAAAAAAGCTTTTTCATTTCCCCTGACAGCTAATGAGAAATTTTTTTATATTAAAAGTTTAGCTTGAGAAAAAAATAATTTTGGAGTTCCCCCATGTCATTGTTTAGGGGAGAATAATATAAAACTTGTCTTCATGTTTTTTCCCTTCATGGGGGGTGATTCTAGATGTAAGTGTAGGGGGACCACGACTCCGTTCCCGTGTTTGACAGTGTGAGGTGGCCCGCCCCCGTTCCCCCAGTGTTTGACAGTTTGGGGTGGCCCGACCCCGTCTACCGTGTTTAAGTGTGAGGTGGACGACGACCCCGCTACCAGTGTTTGACAGTGTGGGGTGGCCACGACCCCGTTACCAGTGTTTGACAGTGTAGGGGGACGACGACTCCGTCTCCCATTTTTTGACAGTGGAGGGGACCACGACCCCGTCTACCATTTTTTACAGTGTGAGGTGGAACACTCCGTCCCCAGTTTTTTGCAGTGTGGGTGGACCACGCCCCCGTTCCATGTTGACAGTGTGGGTGGCCCCACCTCTTTTTACCAGTGTTTGACAGTGTGGGTGGACCACGACCCCGCTACCAGTGTTTGACGTGGAGGTGGACGACGATCCGTCTACCGTGTTTGCAGTGGGGTGGACCACGACCCCGTCTACCAGTGTTGACAGTGTGAGGTGGACCCGCCCCCGTTACCGTGTTTGACAGTGGGGGTGGACCACGACTTCGTCTACCAGTGTTTGACGTGTGAGGTGGACCACCCCGTTCCCCGGGTTTTGACAGTGTGAGGTGGACCACGACTCCGTCTACCAGTGTTTGACAGTGTGAGGTGGACCACGACTCCGTCTACCAGTGTTTGACAGTGTGAGGTGGACCACGACTCCGTCTACCAGTGTTTGACAGTGTGAGGTGGACCACGACTCCGTTCCAGTTTTTGACAGTGTGAAGGGGACCACGACTCCGTCTACCATGTTTGACAGGTGATTTGGACCACGACCCCCGTTTACCATGTTTGACGTGTAGGTGGACAATCCGTCTCCCGTGTTTGAACAGTGGAGGGGGACCAGACCCGTTCCCCAGTGTTTGACAGTGTAGGTGGCCACGACTCCGTTACCAGTGTTTGACAGTGTGAGGTGGACCACGACTCCGTTACCAGTTTTTGGGACGTGTGAAGGGGCCCACGACTCCGTTACCAGTGTTTGACAGTGGAGTTGGCCACGACCCCGTCTCCCGGTTTTACAGTGGAGGGGGCGACGACTCCTTTTTCCCATTTTTGACATTTTGGGGTGGACCAGATCCGTCTACCGGTTTTTTGACGGGGGTGAGGTGGCCCACGACTCCGTTACCGTGTTTGACGTGTGAGGGGGACCACGATTCCGTCTCCCAGGTTTGACATTTGAGGTGGCCCACGACCCCGTCTCCCAGTGTTTGACGTGTGAGGGTGGACCACGACTCCGTCTCCCAGTGTTGACAGTGTGAGGGGACGACGACCCCCGTCTCCCGTGTTTTGACAGTGTGGGTGGAGACGACTCCATCTACCATGTTTGACAGGTGATTTGGACCACGACTCCGTCTACCAGTGTTTGACAGTGTGAGGTGGACCACGACCCCGTCTACCAGTGTTTGACAGTGTGAGGTGGACCACGACCCCGTCTACCAGTGTTTGACAGTGGGGGGGGCCACGACTCCTCTACCAGTGTTTTGCAGTGTGAGGGGGGCCCACGCTCCGTTCCGTGTTTAACGTGTGGGGTGGACCACGACCCCGTCTACCAGTGTTTGACAGTGTGAGGTGGACCACGACCCCGTCTACCAGTGTTTGACAGTGTGAGGTGGACCACGACCCGTCTACCAGTGTTTGACAGTGTGAGGTGGACCACGACCCCGTCTACCAGTGTTTGACGTGTGAGGGGGGACCAGACCCCGTCTCCCATGTTTGACAGTGTGAGGTGGACGCCCCGTCTACCATTTTTGCAGTTAGGGGACGACCCCTCCTTCTACCGTTTTTTGGCATGTGGGGGGCCCACGACCCCCTCTACCAGTGTTTGACAGTGGAGGTGGACGACGCCCGTCTCCAGTGTTTGACAGTGTGAGGTGGACCGACTCCGTTACCGTGTTTTGACAGGTGAGGTGGCCCACGACCCCGTCTACAGTGTTTGACAGTGTAGGTGGCGACGCCCGTTACCGTGTTTGACAGTGTGAGGGGGACCACGACTCCGTTCCCATTTTTGACAGTGTGGGGGGCGACGATCCGTCTCCCGGTTTGACAGGTGAGTGGACCAACGATCCGTTACCAGTGTTTGACAGTGTGAGGTGGACGACGACTCCGTCTACCGTTTTTTGACAGTGTGGGGTGGACGAGACTCCGTAAACCCAGTGTTTACGTGTGAGGTGGACGACGACTCCGCTACAGTTTTTGACGGGGTGAGGTGGACCACGTCCGTCTCCCAGTTTTGACATGTGAGGTGGACGAGACTCGTCTGCAGTTTTTTGACAGTGTGAGGTGGACGACACCCCGTCTGCCATTTTTGACAGTGTGAGGTGGACGAGACTCCGTCTGCCAGTGTTTGACAGTGTGAGGGGCGACGACTCGTCACCAGGTTTGACGTGTGAGGTGGACGACGACCCCGTCTCCAGTTTTTGACAGTGTGAGGGGCCCACGACTCCGTCTCCCGTGTTTGACATGTGAGGGGGACGCGACCGTCTGCCAGGTTACAGGTGAGGTGGACGACGACCCCCGTCTCCCATGTTGACATTTGTGAGGTGGACGACGACTCCGCTGCCTGTTTGACAGTGTGAGGGGGGACGACGATCCGTTCCCAGTGTTTGACAGTGTGAGGTGGACGAGACTCCGTTACCATTTTTGACAGTGTGAGGGGACACTTTGTCACCAGTGTTTGACAGGTGAGGGGCCCACAAACCCCTTTCCCCCCCTGTTTGACAGTGGAGGTGGACCACGATCCTCTCCGTGTTGACAGGTGAGGTGGCCCAGACCGGTCTACAAGGTTTGACAGTGTGAGGTGGACCCGACCCCGTCTACCAGTTTTGACAGTGTGAGGTGGCCACGATTCCCTCAAAGGGTTTTTTTTGACAGTGTGAGGTGGACACGACCCCGTCTGCGTTTTGACAGTGTGGGTGGACGCGACTCCGTCTTCCAGTGTTTGACAGTGTGAGGTGGACCCGACTCCGTCTCCCAGTGTTTGACGTGTGAGGGGGACCACGATTTGTCCCCGTGCTTGACGTGTGGGGTGGACACGACCCCGTCTACCAGTGTTTGACAGTGTGACGTGGCCACGACTCCGTCTACCAGGTTGGCAGTGTGGGGTGGCCCCGCCCCCTTTCTCCCAGTGTTTGACAGTGTGAGGTGGACCACGACTCCGTCTACCAGTGTTTGACAGTGTGAGGTGGACCACGACTCCGTCTACCAGTGTTTGACAGTGTGAGGTGGCCACTCCGTTCCCAGTGTTTGACAGGTGAGGTGGACCACGCTTCGTTACCAGTGTTTGACAGTGTGAGGTGGACCACGACTCCATCTACCAGTGTTTGACAGTGTGAGGTGGACCACCTCCGTCTACCAGCGTTTACAGTGTGGGTGGCCCAGATTGCCTACCAGTTTTGACAGTTGAGGTGGAACGACTCCGTCACCGTTTTTGACGGGGTGAGGTGGACGACGACTCCGTCTACCAGTGTTTGACAGTGTGAGGTGGAC